CATTTTTTCCCCCATATACTGTTGGTCATTTGAATCCTCAGTCAGGGAAGGTTCTAGAAACCCAAGGCCCAGGATTTAGAGTGTGGAATCTGGCACTCTCAGACCCAGCCTCTCCCCAGCCCCCCGTGGGACCCACAGCAGCTGAGACATGGAATCTTCCAGGTCCGAGTGTCAGCCCTGCAGGGCCCTCTGCACTCCTAGGAGCTAATAATCCGCCTCTTCCTTCTGCCTAGGGCTTGCAGCCATTCCTCGGCTATTATTTCTGCATTACCTCCTTGTTCTCTTAGTGAGTCTCCAGTCCTCCAACACTTGTAACCAATTTCCTATATTAAATTCTCTCTGATGAATTACCTGTTTTGCATTCTGCTTTCCTGGCCAGACCCTGATTCACTTAACAATTTCCAATCTACTACAATCGAAAAGAGATATAAATTATACTATGCATAATAGCCAACTGTTGATGGAGAAAACGATGAAACATTTGCTCCCGTCAGCCAGATCTTCCCTGGGAAGGAGATTTGCACTCAATCCAAGGTGCTGTGACCTTTTTTCTCCCTTTGCCTCAGACCCATCCAGTGGCCAATGTCTCTCATGGTCCAAACCACAGTGTACCTTCCAGTATTTGGGCATTTCAGGAGGATCTGGGAGCGTGGGAGGTGATGGGGCAGTCCAGGCTGGTCCAGAAGGGAAGGAAAGGAGAAGGCAGCTGACCCAAAGGGTGGTGGCCACTGAACTTGGGTCTGGGTTTTTCTACATATAGGTGGGGCAGGGGGCATGGTGGAAGAGCAAGAAGTTCCCCTGTCTCTTTTGATACTGTAGGATTGTGTTCGTTTCTCAGAGATTCAGAGGATTCTGAACTTATTGTCTGGATATCATTTTTGCATTTTATATTTGTTCTCCTGTTTTCTTCATCACTCATAATCTCTTCAAGTGAGAAGTATGTCAGACAGCATGTGCTCTTCTTTACTTCCAAACCAAAGCAAGGGTAATTACATCAGTGTGCTGCTTTCTGTCCAAATGACACGAATGAGTGTCCCTGATTGATTGCAATTGATTCAATGCAGTAATGTGCCCTTATTTTTCTCCTCCCCTTCCTCTTTTTTCCCTATTTTTTTTTTTGGGGGGGACTGGGGTTTGAACTCAGGGCTTTTGCATTTGAAAAGCAGGTATCCTACCACTTGAGCCATACCTCCAGTCAATTTTGCTTTGGTTGTTTTGGAGATGGGGTCTTGTGAACTATTTGCCTAGGTTGGCCTTGAACTATAATCCTTCCAATCTCAGCCTACAATCACACCTATATAGGCTAAGCCACCTGCTCCCAGCTTCTCTACTAGACTTCCTTTTTTGTGCAAATCATACTTTCTTTTTTTTGTTGGCCCTGGGTTTGAACTCAAGGCCTCACACTTGCTAGGCAGGCACTCTACCACTTGAGCCACTCCACCAGCCCCTAGACTTCCTTTTTTGTATTCCACATTTTGGTCAGAAGTTTCAGAACTTTTACCATTTTCAGTGCCTAAAAGATGGGGGTCTCGCTATGGAGCACAGGCTAGACTTACCTTTGCCATCCTCCTACATCAGCCTCCCTAATTGGGATTACAGATGAGGACCAACATGCCTGGCTTCAGAGCACTCATATAAATCTATGACTTACTATAAACCTTAATAAAAACTGTACCATCTTTGGGTACAGCGGTGCACAGCTGTAATCCCAGCACTCAAGACTGAGACAGGAGGATGGAGAGTTGGAGGCCAGGCTGGGCTGCATAGTGAGATGTTGTCTCAAAATCAAAACAAAACAAAACAAAACAAAAAAACCAAAACAAAGCAAAACAAAAGCTATCCTGTCCCATATGTCAGAACTGCGACTCTGGCTAGTATCCAACTCCTTATGGAAGTATAGAGAAGCCACTTCTACCCACGCTGTGATGGCCAGCAGTCTCAAGAGCTGTGTAACCGTGCTGTGGAAGAGGAATTTTGTTTTCTGGTTCAAAATTGTTATCCGAAAAAGAAAATAAAAAAGGGAATGTAGGTTGAAGTGAAATCGTGAAACTGCATGCTTTAGGGGTCCAGGACTGATCAGGTGTGGTGACTCATGCCTGTAATTCAAAGTTAGCATAGGTAGGAGGATCTAGGTCTGAGGCTGGCCCCAGGCAAAAAGCAGCAGACCCTATCTGAGAAATAACTAAAGCAAAAAGGGCCAGGGGTGGGGCCCCAGTATGGGTGTAAGGGGAAGAAAATGGAGAATAATGCATCTCTCCAACTCCCAGGATGACACTGAGGGTCAGTTGAGACCTGTGGGTGCTGGTGACTCTCCCTGCAGGGGTTGTTAGAACAGCCCCATGGGTCCCTCAGGGCCTTGCCTGGCCAGAAGAGCAGGCCTGAGTGCTGGAGCCTCACAGAGAAGCAGAGATTCTACTGGGATACGGATCTGATCCTGCCAGCATTTCCACAGAGGGGAAGCAGATGGTTAGGGGAAATCCAATTTAAAAGAAAAGAAATCAAATTAGCTCTCCAGGGATCTGATGGCCAAGACTTGAGTGGAGACAATTACATCAGTTGCTCGGGCCTCAGCAAGCCAGCATGAAGGCAGAGGTGGGTGGGGTAGGAAAATCTCTTGGGCCACCTCTCCCTGTGGGGAAGACAAGACAACCTGGCTTGGAGGAGTGAAGTCCTCAGATTGTGATGACCCTTGGCTCTGCCATTTGACTTTTCTGTTTCTCAGACCTTTGCAATTTATGTAAACCAAAGGTTGACCTGTAATTCCCACAGCTGGAACAGTACTGTCAGCCTTCCTCAAATGCTCAAATGAAGTAGGGGTGGATGGAAGGCCACAAAGCAGCAAGGAGACCTGAGGACAATGTGTAAAAAAACACACTTAGCACATAATGCACCATGTTCACCATTTCTAAGTGCACAACTCACAATTGTCACACTGTCTATTTCCACATCTTCATTATCCCAAACAGAAACTTGTCCTTTACTCATTAAACAGTAACTCCCCATCTTTCCCTCTCCCAGCCCCTAGTTACCACTAATTTCCTTGTTTTTTTAGGACTGGGGTTTGAACTCAGGGCTTCATGCTTGCAAAGCAGATGCTCTACCGTTTGTACCACACCTCCAGTCCACTTTGCTCTGGGTATTTTGGAGATGGGTCTCACAAACTGTTTGTCCAGGTTGGTCTCGAATGGAGCTCCTCCTCATCTCAACCTCCCAAGCAGCTAGGATTACAGACATCAGCCACCAGCACCCAGCTATTAACCTTAATTTCTGTTTCCATGATATTACTGGTTCCAGGTTCCTCATATACTTGGTATTATAGAGTATTTGTCCTTTTGTGCCCGTCCTTTTGCACATGTCTGAACTGCATTTCTCAGTTCTTTTTTTTGGGGGGGGGGCGTCTTGGGGTTTGAACTCGGCCTTTGAACTTACTGGGAGGCACTCTACCACTTGAGTCACTACAACATCCCTTTTTGCTGTTTAGTTAGTTTTCAGATATTGTCTTGTACTTCTGCTTGGGTCGGCTTTGGACCAGGATACTCCTCCCTGTGCCTCCCCAGTAGCTGGGATTACAGGCATATTGAGATGGGGGGGTCTCCCTAACTTCTCTCCCAAACCTCCCCCTCCCCCCGCCAGCTGGCCTTGAACCAAGATCCTCTCCATCTCCACCTCCCAAGCTGGGAATACTGGTGTAAGCCACCTCACCCAACCTCATTTCTATTTTTTGGCCACTGTGAACAATGCTGCTATCAAAGGGGATTCTGCATTTTTAAATGTCATAGCATTCAGGACATTTTGATTCTTTTTCTCTCCTTACCATTAAAAACCCAAACTGAGTCAAGGAGTGGGAAATAAAAAGTTTCCATGCTGGAGGTGTAGCTCAAGTGGTAGAGCTAGCCTACCATGCACAAGGCCCTGGGTTTAATCCTCAGAACTGAAAAAAAAAACCCCAAAAAACAAAACCACTACCACCAGCAATAACAGGTTCCCTGAGCCTCCTCCATCCCTTTCATTGTGTTATCTCACTCTGTTGTCACCTAACTCTCTGCATTGCCCTGGACTAGACCTGCAAATAATGGTTTGAACAGTGACTGTGCCCATATTGTGGGTTCTGTGATCTGGCTACCTGGTTAAGCTGAACTACACCTCCCAGAATCCCCCTTTCTGGTATTTCCAGTTTGAGTGGAGCCCAAGGGAGAGAGAGAGCCTTGTGGGAGGCCTGGAGGAGGGAATGAAGCAGCAGTCACCTCTCTCTCTCTCTCTCTCTTTCTCACACACACACACACACACACACACACACACACACACACACAGCTTTTCTGCCAGCTTCACATTAACTCTTCTACCTCCCAGGTTGGTACTCTTTTATCTCCATTACAAAGGCAGGCCTCTGCAGGACTCAAGCCACCAGCATCAGAGAAAGCAAGAATTGACATGGAGTTGTCTGGCCCCAATGGTGCTATCTTGTGCATGTGATTCTAGCTTGTTCTTCCGTTTCCCGTCACATCCATCCATCATCTTTTCCGACTGTCCACAGACAACAGAGACCTGTTGACCAGTCCCAGTAAGGTGTAGGACCAAATTCCTGTGACACATTTCTACATATAAGTATCTCTGACTGGTTCTGCTCTGACTAAATCCTGATGCATACACAATCGTTTAGTCATTTAACCAACAAACCATCATGTATAAGAATACTGAGCACTTTCTATGCACCAGACATCAGGGTCTTGGTGCTGGGAGCACAGCAGTGAGTGAAACAAAAGTTGGGTGTACTCATGCTAGTGCTGACCTCTCCTACTACCAACTGGGGGACCCCACTTCTTCTGTAAATGCCATTAAAAAGTAGTTGATGAACATCTGAAGACAAATAGCTTTAAAAAAGTTTAAAGGGGCTAGGGCATTGCTCAAGTGACAGAGTACTGTCTAATAAGTGTGAAGCCCCAGTACTGCCCCCACCCTCCAAAAAATTAAAGGAAGCAAAACACAAAACCAGTGCTGGATATTGTCATAATCTTTTATTATGTATCAAATTGTCTTCAATATAAGTTACAACCTGATTAAATTTGATAGACATTTTTTCTATTTAAAGGCAAAAAAAAAGTTCTCTTTATGTACAATATCTTTTGTCTAGAGTCTGGCAAATATAGTACCTTTCATTGCAGGATTTCTGCTAACATAACAAGCAAAAATAAACCATCAAAAAAAAATATATAAACCAAAGCAAATCAACCCCCAAATCCCTCTACTACAAATGTCAACATTGAATAAAGCATTAAAAAAAGTCAAACACAGAATAACTTTTGTTTTAGAAATGCAAAATGAATACTAAATGTTAGTGGCAAAAAACCAAAACAACCCAACCATCTTCAGGGGTCAGTTTTCCTGCTCGGGATTTCGGCTGACTCTAGACCATCTCACGGGTCCTGCGGATTGCACAGCACAGAATCATACTGAAGATCATGCCAAATACCTGCAAGATACAAAGGGAAGGAAAGACATGACACTCAGTGCGAGACAAATGACCCGGGGAATGGCGTCCATGAGGCCAGCTGAATTCAAAGGTACTGAAGTAGGAGAGATTAAGGCTAGACAGTGGGAAGGACCACTGGACCAGAGGGATTCTGAGAGTCAGCAGTCAGTTGCTAACGTCTACTGCAAAAGCAGCTTCCCGGGAGAACTTTCAGGGGGAGACCAGTAAAATGCAGGCGAAATTCAATGCTCAGATTCCAGAAACCTAACACAGGTTAGGACTGTGGGTGTGTGAGTGTGTGTGATCAAACCTAGGGCCTGCATGTGCTAGGCAAACACTCTACCCTGAGCTACATCCCAGCCTGACCTTAGTACTTTTGCTTTTGTCTTGGTGTATGTGTGTACTTAAAATTCTATTTAAAAAAGTATTTATTATGTCTTTTTACTGAAAGCTGCTGCAGGCCTTTCTTAGATGCAGGTGAGGGATGCAAATCTCTAGGAAAGGAAGCCACTCTTTGTTTGGGAGAGGGAAGGCCTACAAAGAGCAGAGGAAGGCTGAGGAAAAGACCGTGGATTTCAATGACTTGGGTCATCCCATGTCTCCGTGAGTTTTCATCACTCCCTCATGGAGAAAGGGAGGTGGCCCTAAAGAACCTGGTTGTCCCTTGATGGTTTCTGGGGCTGGTTAGCAGGATATCTGAGCAGGCTCAGTCCTCCCACTGGTTGTGCATCTTTGGGTGCCCTTCAGAGTACAGGAGGAAATAAAGCAATTCACTCCCACATCAATTCTAGCAAACTGCTGTCTTGAGGGAGAGATAAGCAGGTGCATGGTGAGATTAATCCCAGGGAGCAGCAGCTCTGCATCATCTTGCATTTGCTCTTGAACTTCAAGGGCCAGGAGAATGCACTCTCTCTCACTCTTTTTTTTTTCCTATACTGGGCCTACACCTTGAGCCACTCCACCAGCCCCTTTTTTTTTCTTTTATTCATATGTGCATACAATGTTTGGGTCATTTCTCCCCCCCTTCTCCCTGCCCCTCCCTTATCCCACTGCCTCTCCCCTCCTACCCCCTTGCTACCAGGCAGAAACTATTTTGCCCTTATCTGTAATTTTGTTGAAGAGAGAGTATAAGCAATAATAGGAAGGAACAAGGGTTTTTGCTAGTTGAGATAAGGACAGCTATACAGGGAGTTGACTCACATTAATTTCCTGTGCATGTGTGTTACCTTCTAAATTAATTCTTCTTGATCTAACCTTTTCTCTAGTTCCTGGTCCCCTTCTCCTATTGGTCTCAGTTGCTTTAAAGTATCTCCTTTAGTTTCTCTGCGTTGAGGGCAACAAATGCTATCTAGTTTTTTGGGTGTCTTACCTATCCTCACCCCTCCCTTGTGTGCTCTCGCTTTTATCATGTGCTCAGAGTCCAATCCCCTTGTTGTGTTTGCCCCTGAGCTAATGTCTGCACATGAGGGAGAACATACGATTTTTGGTCTTTTGCAGCCCCTTTTTTTTTGTGATGGGATTTGTTGAGATAGGGTCTCAAGAACTATTTGCTTGGGCTGGCTTTGAACCATGATCATCCTGATCTCTGTCTCCTGAGCAGCTAGGGTTACAGGTGTGAGTCACCGGCACCCGGTTATGAGAATGCACTCTTGAGGACACTCTGAGTTCAAACCTTGGATCCTTTATACAAGCGGAGAGGCTTTGATCGATTTACTCAACCTGTCAATTTCCTTTGTTTTTGGGGTGCTGGGATGGGAACTGAGGGTCTCATACATGCTAGGCAAGCACTGTGCCATTGGGCCACAGCCCTAGTTCTCTAGTTCTTAGTAGTAAAAGGGAGATACTGATAGCACCCACTGTATGGAAATGGCATAAATGACATTACCTGATGAACGCACAGCACTCCAAACAGTGCCTGGCCAGAACACATGCTCAATAAATGTCACCTACTACAAAGATCGGCCCCTTCCCAGGAGACCCCGCCACTCACCATGACTACAGCAATGCCGATGCCCACTGCACCAATGATGTGGAACTTGTTGTCGAAGACATCTTTAATGGCCTCAGGGCAGGGCTAAGGGAGGCAAACAAGACCTGCATCATATACAATCCCACTTGGGGACACTTCCCTCACACAGGTCCTGCCTCCCATGGACAGCCCTGGTGGTCAGAGAATGGGTTGGGGGTAGTTGCATTTAGGGATGAGAGATATGGGAGGGGTGTCCCTAAAAAACCTGGGTAAGACATCAGGGAAGGGAGAGGTTTCCCTTCTTCCCTCCTTCCTTCCTTCTCCCTCCCTTCTTCCTTTCTTCTCCCTCCCTCTCTCCCTCCTTCTCCCTTCCTTCTATTCTTTTGTTTGCAGTGCTGGGGATGGAACCTGGTCTTCATGCATGTCAGACAAGTGCTCTGCCACTGAGCTGCACCCCAGGTCCCTGGGATATATTTCTGATATGGCTCTAGGGCCACTTTTATGATTCTGTGTCTGGACATTAACTGTAGCTGACAATTAAGAGCCATTACAAGTCTAGGAAGCAGGAGTCCCAACTCAGAGGTATGCCTGTCCCCGAAGGTTTATGGACTTGGGATGGCAGTCCCAGATGGCTGTCCAGTGGCTGCATGGAGCTAGAAGAGCACTCTGTCCTCTCCCTGAGTCTGGACTTTGCTTTGATGCCCTTGAGGAAAGAAGGGCCAGGGTAGGGGAGAAATGAGATGGTCACCCTGAGGCTCATACAGGTGGATCTTTATGAAGCACTTCCTGTTCTCCTGGAAGAAGATGGCCGATTTTACTTCCACTCTCACAGGACTTGCCTGAGCAGCAGGGCCCCAGAGGCTTTCTCTTCAGCTTACCTTAAGTTGGATGGTGTCGAGAATATCTTTCTTGGGGCAGATGTCCGAGATAAGCTGTTCTACACCCCCAGCTAGGCCACAACAGTTCAACTGTGGAGAGAAGGCAGGAATGGGGATGAGACACAAATAAAAAAAGAGAACTAAAATAGAGGTGTGCTGGTCTGGCAAGGAAGTAGCCTATATGTCAGAAGGGTCAGCCTTATTACAAAGAAGACTTACTGCATAGTGGATAGCCTTCAGGGATTCCCGCTGGGGCTCGCTCAGGGTTTTCAGCTTCTGGTACATGTCCTTGTAAAAATCCTGGACGTCTTTAATCACCTACGATGGAAAGAGAAGGAGTAGCGGAGATGGGGTTTTCACATTCTTCTTCATGAGCACAGGTTATCTGTTCTACCTTGTTCACACTCTTCAAGTCCTCAGCCAACAAGTTCCCATGATTAGAAAATGTCACCCAGCAGACCAAAGCCCCTAGTACCACCTCTCTCAGGGCCACTGTAGGACTATTCATCTACTTCCACCTCCTCTAGGATCTTGCTCCCGTTTTCTTTCTATTCCTTTGCACCTTCGGTAGGTCTATTTACCTTACTTGGTTCTTCCCCTCTACCTGTTAACTCAAGGAATCAGACCATGTAAAGAGCAGTGATAAAAAAATCCCACTTCAACCTGGCTGTTTCCTCCACCTTCCATCTCGTAGGCATGGCTTCTGGTAAATTGCTAACTTTCTGTACATTCATTCCGCATATGCAGGACAGAGATCTTAACAGTCTTAACATCTCATAGGTTATTGCAGGATTTCAATGAGACGATGCATGCTAAGCTGTTACCATTGTGACTGGGACAGTAAATCTGAAAGGAGCGTCTACTATTATATTATGCTACGGAAGACAGATTATTCTTTGCATCTGAGTACACCCCAAGGTAATGCATGACCTTACCTTTGACCCTCACACCCAATAACAGGTCAACCTCCAGCATTTTTCCTTTATTACTTTTATTTAAGAGAACACTTTATTAGTTTCTGTAATCAAACCCATGGCATTTTCCCTTTTGCATCTTTCATCATCATCCCTTCTTATTTTCATGGCTACAGCTTGGAAAATTAGTTTCTCTTTCTCTCTCCTTCCCTTCCCTTTCTCTCTCTCTCTCTCTTTTTTTTTTAAATTAAGGTTAGTGCCTCCAGTATCTCTCGTTTCCCTCTCTGCTGATCATGACAAGGTGGACTTTCCTAAAACACTGTTTTAGAGTGCCCAGCCTGGCCTGAAACTCCTTGGTGCTCTCTGCAGAAGCCCAAGTATTCCTTTACCCAGTAAGTCCTGCCTCTGTCCACCTTCCTCCCCAAATTGTCTCATTCAAGGTTTAGGTCAGTGCTTCCTTTTCCCTGAAGTAAGAAGAGAATCCCCTTCTGATCCACTTTTCCAAACCCCAGCCTTACGTCACTTCTATGACACTTATCAAATCTATTTTTCTCCCACATTAAATGGCAAAGTTCCTGGAAGTGGGGGCCTCAGCTCGGGCACATAGTGTTTGGTATGGTGCTCAGCTCATGGTGGTACTAAAACACATTTTTATAGATAAAGGAAGGAACAAGGGTGCACAACTCAAAGAAAGCCACATTTTTCTGACCAAAATTTCCAGAGTTTCTCACTAAATAAACATCTATGATGTGCCAGCCCTGTGGACAGGGCAGCATGTAGCACATGCCTGACCCTCAAGGAGCACATGCTCTGATAGCATATGGGAATGCACTGAGTGAAGAGCTATGTTCGATGGCTGAAAGCAAACCAAGGTGACCAGCCGGAATCCCTTCCATCACCCTTATCCTCCACCTCCTGACCCCCAATTCTAAAGATCTTATGAGAAAATCCTACCTCATCTTTGTGAGAATAGCCCCAGATGGCGGCAGCAATTTCAATGGCAAATATCACCAAGAGGAAGCCAAAGAACTAGAAGGCAAAGAGGGGATGGGTGAGAACAATCCCAGTCAACCAGTCAAAAAAATCAAGATCAAAATCAAAGGGTATTTGGAATGAGGGAGAATGAGAATATTGTGAGGGATGGGCAATTTGGAGGCACAAATGAACAGCTTAGAAGGGGCAGGGAAGGACGAGCTGTGGGAGCAATGGCAGGAAAAGGTGTCCATTTGGAGGAAAGTATAGGCACCACCCATCCCAAAACTGGTCTTTATAGAGTGTTAGTTAGGAGTCAGGGAGCACTATTGCTAACTTATGGAACCTACAGATTTGGGGCAAGAAGGGTAGAGTATACATTCTGGGTGGCAACAATTTTGAAACAAGAAAGAAAGAAGGCAAAGGTACCTGTGGATTCAGAGAAAAAAAGCAAACGTGGTCCTCGAGAAAGGGAAAAACAAAGTCCAGGCATTTAGCTGCCTAAGGGAAGTGATAAGATCAGCTCTAGAAAGGCAGGGGAGCCATGTCTACCCCAGGGGAGGGCCCAGGGTCATGGACAAGTTGGTGGCCTGGATAGTTGGGGCAGGGCCTGGGGTGTGCAACACTGGGGAGGCTGAGGATAGCTTATGCTATCTGGGTACCTTCTTTACCCCATCTTTCTCCTCAAGTTATACATATCGGGCCTGCTGACCTTTTGGGGAGGGAGTGGGGCCAGAGTCAGAGCAACTGTGGGGAGCACAGAAGGCATACTCACCAATCCCAGCATGCACTGAGACTCTTGCACAGCCCCACAGCAGCCTAGGAAACCCACCAACATCATGAGGGCCCCGGCTCCAATCAGAATGTAAACTCCTAAGGGAAGGGAAGAGGATAAAGACAGCTGTATGGAGACATTAGTCGGGAGACCCAGCTATCTCCCATAATTCCTTCTTCCTCTGAGTTCCTCCCCTGTTCTTGTTGCCTCCACCCCAGGAAGGAGTCCCTTTCCTTAACAAACAGTCTGTTCCCATTTCTTCCTACTAGTCTCTCTTAGGGACCTGCTTCATCACACCTACACTCCTACATTACCCTCAAATTTTCTAGAAGGGGCCCGTTAGACCCTCATAATCTAAGACAATAATCACAGCTATCACAGAAATCCTGAGATTCTACTTAGAACACAACCTGGTCCAGTCTGTTAGTTTTTCCAGCAAGGTAAGTCCATTCGAGCTAGTTAACACAGATCCTCTAAGCCTGGGCTAACTTCCTGGGACTTGGACAAGGCTCCCGCAGGATGCCATCAGGACAAGCTCCCAGCAGGCTATGCATGCCCAGACATCCTCGCTTTGGAAGGCCTGCCCTGCCTGCTTCCCCTTAGGGACACCTTCCTGCCCTGCTGCCTGTTGGGCATGCACAGTTAGTAACACACAAGTTACACGTACCTTGCTCCAGTACAAAGGACACATATCTGGGTGTCAGACGACCTTTATTTTAGTCCCAACACTGCTACTAACTGCTGTGTGACCTTTGGCAAGACTGGTAAAATTAAAGAGCTTGGTTGCTAGAAAATTCCGAGCAATCCCTTATAACACACCGAAGAGATCTTATAGTTGCAATGTAGTTACTCCAGATTAAGGGCGAAATTCTTGCTAAGAGTAGTGTGAGTGAGTGACATCATTTCTAAGTCTTCAATTTTGAGTGGCTAATTAGGGGGAGGTAGAAGAAGGGCAGTGACTTCTACGACTCTTGCCTAGGTCCCAAACAATGAAAATTCCTGGGACAGGAACACAGTGGAGAAGCCCTGGCCACATTCATTCCACAGTCTGCCAAGGCAATGCCCAGAGGGACCCAACCTACAGTTATATTCTTGAGAAGGCACTGCTGTCCTACAGGGATGACCTTGTGCACAGCCCACCCCTCCAAAACCAGCAAAGAGGTTGCAGTGCCTCCTGCCGTCTGTTGGCATCTTCTACCCAAGCTTCAGTCACATGTTGAGAGCACTAGCTCTGTGACCCTGCAGAAGTCACTTAATCTCTCTGTGCAAGTTTTTCTATCTGCAAAACGGGGATGGTTGGGGGTGGGGGTGTAGTTCAGTGGCAGAGCATGTGCTTAGCATGGACTCAATCCTGACTACTGCAAAACAAATAAAAACAAAAAAAAGAGGATGGTAGCCATGACTACTTCAAGGATGTTGAGAGGATTACATGATAATCCACAAATGCCCAACGAATGCTAGCTGTCACGAATCTTAATAATACAAGGGATGGGGACTATTATTTAAAACAATGTGATGATTTTTCTATACTTACTGCTGTCTTCCCACGGTCCTTGAGCCAGGACCAGAGAGACTCATTCAAGTAGGGGATGAAGGTTAGAGAGCGAAATGTGTTGTTTTCCTACAACTCACAGCATGCAATCAGATGAGAATTCTCAGCAGGTGACACAGTGACCTCATTGTCCCACATCTGCAGCACCCAGAGGAGGGCTGAGGTTCTGCAGGCAGCAGACTGTGCAATCCTTCTGCAGCTGAGGCTCCCAGCAGCACAGAGCAGAATGCACACAGGGAGCATTTGTGTCTCTTGCTTCTCCCCCACATCTGTCATGATGTCAAGTCACATGGGGTTACTGGCAAACCCTATGTTGTATGAATATGGGTATTGTTCCAGTGCACGCCTGGCCCAGACTGAGCAAGGGGACAAATGCAGCTTGTCCCCGAGTCATCCTCCTAGGCAGGCAAATGTAGTGGGGCCACTGGCTGGACTTGGGGAGGCAGTACAGTCCCACACATGGGGTGCTGGGGGGAGGAAGGCCAGCTTCTCTCCATTCTTGGCTCTGCCATGGGGACACCAGTGAGTGAGGCAATAGAATAGCCCCAGTTTCTCCCCAAGACAACGAAGGATGAGGTCACTCCTTTGAGTTGCAGAGTAGGGGCTGAATAAATGGGGTATTATGAGATCAAAAGAATTTATAAGCACATGAAATACAATCCAGTAGGAAGAAACAGGCAGATGTGTTTTCTCTGAGTCTACATTGCAATATAGGAGCCAGGTGATCCTAGCAGAGGCTGGGGCAGCTGGGGTAGCAGTAGACCCCACCCTGTCCCTGTCAGAGGGAAGAACATTGCCTGGCAGAAAGAGGATGTTCTTCTAATGGGTTTCTTGGCTCATGTGTAATAGCCACTCCAGGGCAGCAGAGGAAGATTTTTAAACTAAAGAGTCTCATTGGCTTTAAATCTTGCCCAGACAGCTGTGGCGCTAGAGTGCCTCATGCTAGCCCTATCAGGGTGGGTGGAAAGGAGCAACCCTCGGCAGCCTCCATGCAGGTTTTCGCAGCAGCCATCAAGCTAAGGTGGTCCAACCCCTAAGAAGACACAGAGCCTCTGCAGGACTTGGGTTGATTTTCCCTCTTTCACTCTCTTCCTTTTACAGTGCTGGGGATGGAACCCAGGACTTACTGCATGCTAGGCAGGCACTCTACCACTGAGCTACACCCCCCAGCCCTTGGCTTGCTTTTTTTTTTTCAAAGGACTGTCCAGTGGTTCCCTTTGGGAAAGCTACTTATAGCCTGGACCCCACGCTTGTTAGCAAAGGCTGGCGATGATAAATGACAAAGTGTTCCCCTTTATAAAACAAGTGAATGTTAGCTTTCTGTCTGACTCATGGAAAAAGATATTCGTCACAGGGCCTGCTTGAGGATTACCAGGGTAAATTGCTTAAGGGCTGTTTATTCAGCTTTTTTGCAGGCTGACATTATAGGTCTAGCCAAAAAAAAAAAAAAAAAAAAAAGAAAAAAAGAAAAAAAGACAAAACAAAAAACAAAAAACTGGTAGGGTAGAAGCATATGCCAAGGAGTTCTTTACACAAGAAACAGCATTGTATCAGGACTGAGCTCAGACAGGACATGTCAGCCTCCTGTCAGCTCCAGCCCCACCAAAGTCTCTGGTCTCCACCTGTTAAAAGCTTATTATCTCCAAATAACTCAGTTGGGGTTCATAGAAACCAACTTTGCTCCTCCAATAACTCTCTCTTGGTTCCTCTCTGCCTCTGGATGCTCTTCTCACTCAGAAGCACCTCAGTGGAATTTCATTTGCTAAGCAGAGTAGAGAGGCATTGGTGTATAAGTTTTTGGTGGGGAAACTGAGGCACTGAGCAACCAAACGAACTGCCACATGCCATAAGGCAGAGCAGGGAAGCCAACTTACTAAGGGCAAATATTGTGGGTCCTGAAATCACCAGTACCTATTCATCAGTTGCGGGGCGGCCTCAGGGAAAGGTACATACAGCCTGTGACTGTGGCTAGACCCCTTCCACTCAGTGACCATGATTCTGGAAAAACACCAAGGAATTAAGGAGGGTTGTTGGCCTGGGATAAAGAAAGTGAAGTTCTCTAACATGTTTGCAGCCTGGGATTATGGGTGCAAATCTCTCAGGGCCTGAGTTGGAGAGAAGGCCCATATAAGGCTGACAGCTCTTTTGGACATGCTCTGAACTTTTCTGAAAGTAGATTCGCAGACTGCTCACAGTGTCTTTCTCTACTGTGCAAGCCTGAGCCCAAAGACACTGTGGGTCATTCAGGTTTCCTAAAGAGTCAACTGCAGGCAGTCAGGGACAGTCACCCCATGATGTCAGGACAGCAGTCAGAGTGTAGCCGGCACTCCCAGCTCATCTGCTGGCTGGGAGAAGGGCTATGGGTCACACAAAAGGCTGGTCTCATAGCTCGATGGGAAAGGAGGCACAAACAGCAAAGCCTCTTTGGCCCTTTGCCCATGGACAATTATTCAGTTTCCCAAAGCATTCAAAATGCAGGCTGGGTCCAGTCAGACCCATGCAGCCAGTCGCTCAGCTCACTGATGTTCTAGTGTCTCTTGCCTCAGTCCCTGGCCCCTGGAGGCAAAATGGAATCTTCAAAGCTGAGCCCTTTTTCTCAAGAAGGTGGTCTAGCTATAAGGGGCTGTACTCCTATGGCAGAGCTAAGGGGACAGCAGCTGTTCACCCCTAACTAGGGACTGTCCCTTCAAATCACTCTTTTGTCACTTCAGGACTGCGATGAACTGCAGGACCTGAATCCTGGGAGGTTCTCAGAGGCAAGTCCCCAGCTCCTTCAAATGTATGGCCACCCCTCTCCTGCCACCTTGCACAGCTTTCCCAGCTGTCACCCACTGGCCAGGGTCACTGCTGTGGGGGTTTCTCTCTCTCAACTACAATTTGTGGTTGGAAAGCCGAGAGAGTCCCACCCTGCCCCTGTCAAAGGGGGAACATTTGGTGAGTATATTTTTTTCTGTTCCTATCCTAGCACAAGCTTGGACAGGACTTTGGCTTCTCTAGGCCTTGACTTTCTTATCTATGAGCTGGGAATCATGCCTAACTCTTTGCAGAGTTATGGGGATGGAGCTGTTTGACAATGTGATACCAAGTATGAGACCGCAAATGACACAAGCAAGGGCCAAGACAAGCTATTGCCCTCCCCACCCCCCACCACCACCCAGCAGCACCCACTGACCAACGGGATCCTTTTCTCCCACACCTGAAAATGCATAGAATTAGCCAGAGTTCTGGAGAACAAAAAGAACTGGGGGTTTAGGAGCAGCCAGAAGGATGGGAGGGCAGAGGACCCTTCTGGAGACATGGGGAGGCTGTGGGGCTCTTGTTTAGGAAACTGGCTTGAAAGGGTGCCCATTGCTGTGAGTGGATCTGCTGTGCCCACAGAGGGAGCTCATGGCTTGTGTGTACCGTGGCATGTACCGTGGCGTGTACCATGGCATGGAGGAGCTGCAGCCTGCCCCTAGGGCCCTCCCAGGGTTCAGATTCTGCAGGTCATTACAGGGGCCCCCTGGAGATCAGTGGGGTCCTCTGTACAGAGTACCCCATCCCCCCTTTTCCACCACCCCCTCCTGAACTACAGGGTGGCATTCCATGTCTGTCATAGACTCACAAAAAAAAAAAAAAAAAAAAAAAAAAAAAAACCCAAACAAAAAAAAACCCTGCTCTGTTGCTAAAACAAGTCAGGGCACTATGGAAACCTGTTCCCTCAGAACTTCATGTGTAGTTGAAAAAACAAAAAACATTGTGCTTTTGTCCCCCATGACTTTCTTTCTGACAATAGGGACCACACCCCAACCACCCTCCCCTCCCAAGGAGCAACAAAAAGCAGGAAAACCAGGAAAAGTATTTACTGGACCTAGGTTCTACGCAACCATACAGGCTGTTTCAAAGACCCCCTGCCTGCCTGTCTACCTGGTCAAGTCTGGCCAAGGGAGATGGGAAAGGGAAGATCAGTGTGGCCGGCTATAACCTTGTCACTAGGAGAAGATAGCTCTCCTCAAACTGCTTATTCTCTGTCTTTTGTAAAAATAACTGGTGGGTGGGAAGGAAGTGACCAAACTTACACTTTGAGCCTGATGCGCTCATGCTACATCCTAAAAATAGGGGGCTTCTTTTGTTTCTCACAAATGAAATGGTTCCTACCCCCAAACCAGGCATTAAAAAAAGTAGAACCAGATCTGAATTTAGAAGAAACTGGGAAGTTGTGTTTGATGGGCCTCAGTCTCTACTCCCCGTACAGACGCAGATTCATTTGTGGTTCGAGACTAGCTCAGGCAAAAAAGTTAGTCAGACATCATCTAGGTATACTGGAGGTGGAAGTAGGAGGATTGCAATCCAGGTGGCATGGGCAAAAATCAGAGACCCTATCAAAAAAAAAAAAAAACCCAAAGCAAAAAGCGCTAGGGGCGTGGGCCAAGTGGAAGAATGCCTGCTTAGCAAGCATGAAGTCCTGGGTTCAAACTTGAATACTATCACAAACAAAACAACCCATAAATGAAAACAAGTCCCCTCCACCAAAAAAAAAAAAAAAAAAAAAATCCAAAAAGCTGATATTAGAAAAGACACCAAGAAAGAAACCTGCTAAATCCATTCATGGATGATTCCAGGCATGTTAAAACTAGAAACATTTTCCTTCAAGCAAAAGCAGTTTGGAAAGCAAAGCAAACTATGGCATTTAGCCCAGCACCAAGGCCCAAGGGGTTGGATGCACTGTCCCCTTGTTAACGTTCTTTTTTGTGTTTCTTTCAGTGCTGGGGATGGGACCCACAGCCTTGAGCATGCAAGGCAAGCACTCTTCCATTGAGCTACACTCCAGCCTCTCCTGTGTTATCCAGGAGGCTGGCCTCCCTCTGGGTCTTGAGTCCTTATCCAAATAGGAGGGAGGAGAGCCACCTTCTCTTGTCCTGACACTGCAGATCCCCAGGACAAAGGTTTCTGAATTGAAATGACGAGGCCCAAGAAGATACGTAATTAGGAGAGGGATTCAGGGATGTGGATGGAAATTCTTAAACGCTCATGAGTAGAAGCAACTTTGCCAGAGCTAACTTGACATCAGAGAACAGTCAAACTGCCAAACTCAGCCAGCATGAAAAGAAACCACATCAGTCAGATGCAAATCCATGGGCACAACTACACACAGAAAAAACTACACAACTTGAAAGGGACAGGATGGCTCCTGTGGCCAGCCTTTCCCAGGCCCACATCTCTCCCACCTCTCTCACCTGTGTAGAAGCTGGATTTATTGTTTTCTTGCTCGAAGATGCTCTTGGTCTGAGAGTCGAATCGGAGCCATAGTCCAATGGCAAGGACTGCAATCCCGGCCAACTGCAAGGTACAGAAAACACTGGCATTAATCCCAGTTCTGGGGTCTCCAAATGCTGAAGGGTAAGACTTGAGACTTACAAAAGACTTTGATGCCACCCTTAGTCTCTGTCCCTGGTGTGCAGGAGTCAGTATATGTGTGTGTGTGATATCAACTCATGTGCCAAAAATAGCAATGAGTTGGGAAAAAAAGGATTACCCATCAACAGTACAGCAGTAGATAGGTGATGTATAAGCAACAAAATACTATGCAGCAGTGAAGATGAGTAACTATGGCTACATGCATCAAAATGCCCAACAAAAGCAAGAGTCACAGAACTTGTTCAATAACTAAAAATCACTGTGGTGTTTAGTATGCACATATATATGCATATATATATGTATAACTGCATATAAACGATAAAGGATAAAAAGAAGGCAGTAATCACAGTAACCTCTGTGAAAAGGGGACTGATGCTCAAGAAAGAGCACGTGGTTGGTGGTGTTTTGAGTGTTGACAGTATTCTCATTCACCCAGGCTGCTCTCAACTCCTGAGCAGGCTCAAGTAATTCTCCTGCCTCCTGAGTAGCTGAGACTATAAATTGCACTATCACACCTGGCACAATATTCTCAGTTTTGACTTGGGTGATGGTTATACAGACATGAACACACATGTACCAAGGAGAGTAGGTGTGGCATCCTCTGAGACCACACCGCTCAGCACGTGACACATCTCACAAGCAAATCCTGGCCTGGCATTGTTGAGCCAGGTGCCATGGAGGAGGCCCCCCTGCCAAGCCCCTCCCCCAGTGCCAGCTGAACTCCCCCATGGCTCGTACCAGGGCTTGCTGGGGAGTGACTCACAGTCCTCCAGTGCAGTGGCTGGCTGGACTTGGGAGAGGAATCAGGTCCACCCCTCTTCAACCAAGACACCCTTATGTCACAGCCCTGCATTCCAGGGACCTTGGTTCTCTGCCTCAGGAGCTGCGACAGACCATGCGACAGACCTCATCCTCCTCTTCCTGTTCCTCCTTCTTTTGGCAGTACTGGGATTTGAACCTGAGCCCCCGTATTCTACTATGTTTAGTTACTTTCAAGAAAGGACCTCAGGAGCATAATCCTTCTACCTATGCTTCCTGAGTAGCTGGGATTACATGTGCATACCACCATGCCTGGTTTATTTTATTGAGATGGGAGTCTCACTAACTTTATTAGCAATTGTACAATGGGGTTTCATTGTTATAATTCTACACATGTATATAATGTACTTTGATCAAATTCACCCCTCTATTACTCTTTGTTATCTCCCCAATTCCTGGGCCAGCAGGGCCTGGCCCAGCTCCTCCAGGGTCCTGGAGAGAAGAAAGGTGATACTTTCCCTCTCTCCACTCCAGCACACAGAGTCTCGGTCAGAGAGCTGGAATTTGGAAAACGAGGCTTTGGCCTCCTTTGCACATGAAAGTGTCAACCCAAGAGCTGTAGGCTGGAGCTCCTCCAGAAGGTCTCATTTGGGTCTCCTTCTTCTGCCCTTGTCTGAGTGACCCAGAACCTGAGTTGAGGGAGTATGCCCTTTTTCTTTTTCCTTTTTTTTTTTTTTTGGCAGTACTGGGGTTTGAACTCAGGGCTTTGCACTTGCTAGGCAGGTGCTCTACCACTTGAGCCACACACCCCCAGCCCCTTTTGCTCTGGCTATTTTTTGAGGTAGGGTCTCGCTTTTTGCCCAGGCCAGCCTGGACCTCAATCTTCCTATCTTACACTCCCCACAGTAGCTAGGATGACAGGTGCATGCCCAGCTTTTTCTGTTGTGACCTTTTGGCTTGGGCTGGCCTGGAACCTTGATCCTCACGATCTCACCCTCTGAAGTAGCTTGGGATGACAGGCATGAGCCCTCAGTGCCTGACTTGCAGTACTCCTTTCTGTCCCTTCTGCTCTAGGCTTGTGCTTCCCAAGGATTTATCCTCAAGTCATCTTCTCTCCTTGTTGAGCAAAGTTACTCACTCACCCCTATCTGCAAGGAAAACTACTAAACCAGTCACCACAAAAAGGATGAAAAAATTGCATGCCCAGGGACCAAGCTGCAGAAGAGACACAAAGCTGCACTCTGCACAGAAAGACCCCAGGCTCAGATGACAGCAAGGGATGTAGGAAAAGCCACAGGGAAAGGCCCCTTTCGACTCAGAGAGTCTTCGAAGTCCAGTGCTTGTCTGGTCTGTGCACACAGGCAGTAAGAAGACTGGCTTGAAGATCAGGAACCACAAGGGGAAAGGAGGCATCTCAAGTTTTACCTTGGCCAAAGCCAAGGCCAAGGCCAAGTCGGCAGTCCTACCTGTTTGGATTCCACTCTAAAAGTCACATCATACTGCTGTATTGCCAAAGCCACCATACCATGTGACAGCGAGGAAGGAAAAGCAGGCTGGCTAGTGAGACATGAAAAAGTCATGCTAGATCACCATCAGAGAGGAGGAAGGTTCAAGAAACCTAGGAGGAGGGAGGGCTGAGGTGGGACAGGACTGGAAACACTTGGTTCACAACAACCACAGAGGAATGAGCCTGGTGCCTTTTTGGATTGAATTTCTGACCTAACTGGCCTAAGGGAGTGCCATGCAAGGCAATAACTGCTCCATTTTCTGAGATGCTACTGGAAAGACTGTTTCAGTTGGCTGGGTCGCAATGGCTCGGGGTGCTGACGCCAGGAAACCTGAACAACCCGTGGTTGCTTAAGCTGTACTGTGGAAAGAGCTCTGAACACTTCCTAGAGGAACTCACTTTGGGGGTGGTGGAGCTTCCTTCCCCCCACTTGGCTCTTACCCTACTTCGATCATAGGGGAAACTAAACAAAAGGACCAACAGCAAAAATTAGATAACTTTAACTTTTATAGTACTAGAGTTTGAACTTAGGACCTTGGGCTTGCTAGGCAGGAGCTCTACCACTTGAGCCACTCCACTGGCCCTTTTTGTATTGGTTATTTTTGAGATAGGGTCTCACTCTATGCCCAGGCTAACCTGAAGTGTGATCCTCTTGTTTGTACTTCCCGCGTAGCTGGGATGACAGGAGTATAACAACATGTCCAGCCATTGGTTGAGATGGGGTCTTTCTAACTTTTTGTTTGGGCTGTCCTGCAATGGTGAGCCATCAAGGCCAGCTAACTTTAACCTTTAAAAAAGGCACCATGACAATTATCAGGACACTCCCTAAAAAAGAATACAGAGAGTCCTCTGTACTGGAGGGTCTGCCTCTGTGGCTTCAACCAACCTCAGATGGAAAATATAGTTAGGCCTGTGATGGCTGTGTGTGTACTGAACATGTACGGAGATTTTGCTCTTGTCATTTCCCCTAAACAAGACAGTCCAACTATTTATACACTGCATTACGGGACGACATGTGTAGGTTATACACAAATACTATGTCAATTTAAAAACCTTGAGCCTTCTTGGATTTGAGTATTTGCAAGGGTAGGGTGGAGATAGGAGGTATTGGAATCAAATCCCTGTAGGGACTGGGAGGGTGGGGAATGTGTGGAAAGGGGGTCTGGGAGGCCAAAAAGTTGATGGTTTCCTTCCAGGTTAGTGAGCTGACTTGTGGCAGTCACACTGACCACACTGTTGCCCTGGCCACCGCCTCTCTTGTCCGTCATCACAGGATCTAAGCAGGTTTGATGGGGATGCTGAGTTACACAATCCCCTATTCACAGGGCCCTAGAAAGAGGACAGTAGTCTGCCAGATCACCAGCTGCCAGGGATGGAGGGAGAGAGTCCAGAGCCTCCACACCCAGCTGAGGCCCTGCCCACAATCTGTCTGGTTACCTTTTTTGTTGTCAACAAAAGCCAAGTAGAAACAGTCTGGTTTTGCTGGGGAAGCTCCTTTGCCATCTGGCCCAAAATGGTTCCATCCATTTGACAGTGCAGAAAGAAAAGGGACCATTTTCCTCACATTGTTTTATTAGAAATTTCCTTGTTGCTTCACTCACACTAATACTTTTCTTAGACGATGGGTGATAAGAAAAACAAGAGATAAACCTAAATTGAGGACAGTTTGCAAAATACTTTGACCAGTACTTCTCAAAACTGTCAGGATCACGAAGAATGAGGAAAGACAGAAGTTGTCACACCGCAGAGGAGATTTAGGATACATACAGCTGTCATGTGGTCTTCTCAAACAGAAAGAGGACATTAATGAAAGCACTATGTAACATCCTAGTAAGGTGGAGCTGGGTTAACAGAAATGTTGCGATAATAAAAAGTAGGATGTAACAGTAGGAGACACTAGGGAGGGCCCAAAGGGACTCTATCCTGTCTTGGCAACTTTTTCTTTAGGTTGAAAGTATTCTACAAAAATTCTAAAAAGGCAGCAGCAGCTGGGGCCGATCTCTCTCTCTCTTCCTCAAAGATTCCTGTCTCCTCCTAGGACCTGCTCCATTAATTAACCTCTTTCCTGCCTCTGTAACTCTGCTTCTGCCAACACACAAGCAGGCCTCTCCACCTTAAAATAAAAAACAAACAGAACAAAACCGGAAACAAACTCCTCTCTTTGTTTAACCTTGTGGCCCTGCCCTGTCCCTTTGGCACCTCCAAATCCTCACTAACTGCTTAGCTCTTTAACTGGTCCCCAGGAGCCCATGCCACTGAACCCTGCCTCCTCCTCTGCCCCTTAGATGGAACCTCAATCCCCCATGTCAGCCCCCTGCATTCCTGCCTCTGCTCACTAAGTCCCTCCTCCTGAAATGCCACCCTGGGCACTTAGACTTGTTCTTCCTTGCCAATGGCTCTCCAGTCTCCTTCCAGGGAAATGCAATTCCAAGTGTATTTCAGCCCAAATTTCCTCTGAACACTTGTCTCACATCTCATCAGACTGCAAACTACTAGAGGTCAGGATGACTTCTTAGTCTTTTGCATATCTCCCCTGCTCCATTCATTCTTTGGACAGACTAGTCATGATACATGCTCCAATGAGTCTCCAATGACGAAGGATCTCTGAAATCCACCTGAGGTCTTCTCCCCTTTGGCCAAGCATTCTTTCCCACCA